GAAGTCGGCCCAAACGAGCACCGGGTGTGTTCCCTGCCCAGGTGAATGAGTCCTGGACCCTGGAGAACTGCACCGTGGCCAGATGCGAGGGTGACAACCACGTCGTCCTGCTCCCACCCAAGCCGGTAGCCAACATCACCTGTGTAAACGGCCAGCAGCCTCTCAAAGTGTGGAACCAGAGCCGGCCCTGTGACTTCCACTACGAGTGCGAGTGTGAGCACACGCCGGATGTGACTCCCCACGCGGAACACACATAGTGTTAGCCAGGCTGGCAGAGTGGGGTGTGGCTGGGTGTTTGGGAGACCTGTAGCTTGTCACTTCAGTAGACAGGCCAGCCGTGGGGGCCTGGGGGCCCACGTGGGTTCTGCTGACGTGCAGGCTGCTGCGAGCGCTCTGGCTGGAGGGGAGCCTGAGGCCAGCCTGCTGAGTGCGTCTGCGCCAGGCTGCGGTGTGAAGAGAACCAGCCGGGGGTTCTTAGGCCAGGGGACGTGCAGATGGTCGCAGGAAGCTCAGAAGTGCTGTTTCCTGGGGTCCTAACGATGGCCCCTGTTACTGAGCAGGGCGCACTGCCAAGAGGAGGTGGGGCTCTTATTGCCCTGCCATGTCCCTGTCCTGGGGCTGCCACCACAGACGGCCACAGACTGGGCGGCTTCAGACAGCAGACACGGATTCCCTCAGCCCTGGAGCCCGAGCCTGGCGGCGGAGCGGGCAGGGCGGCGATCCCTGCAGAGCTCTGGGAGGACCCCCCCACCTCTCCCAGTCTGGGGACTGCAGACGGTCCCTGGCTTGTGGCCATACCACACCAACCTTGGCCTCTGGCCCCACATGGCTTCTCCCCGTGTGTCTGTGTCTCTTCGGTCACTCATGAGGACCCTTGTCATGGGATTTGGGGCCCACCAGGGTAGTCTGGGATGATCTCGTTTCTGGATCCTTCACTTAACCCCATCTGCAGAGACCCTTTTTCCCAATAAGGGCACAGTCAAAGGTTCTGGGGTGGACATGGATGTTGGTGCACCATTCGATGCATGGTACCCCTTTTACCGAAGAGGCTTGGGTGGCTCCCCTGTGGTGACAGTCACAGTGGTGACGCTGGGTGACCATGGAAGTGGAGGGCTCGGGCCGGGCTGCAGGGCCCTCCAGCATCCCATGTGTCCACATCCCCAGGCTCCTGCAGTGGGTGGGGTGGCTCCCACTACTTGACCTTCGACGGCACCTCCTACTCCTTCCTGGACAACTGCACCTACGTCCTCGTGAGAGAGATCCACCCACGCCACGGGAACCTCAGCATCCTCTTGTACAGCCACTACTGTGCGGCCTCTGCCTCCGTCTCTGCCGCCAGCTGCCCACGCGCCCTCAGCATCTACTACGAGCACATGGAGATCGTCCTCACCACCACCACTGTCCATGGGAAGGAGGAGAGCCTGGTGAGTCAGGCTGGCAGGCGGCCCTCCCCGTGCCCAGGCCCAGGCCACGGCCTGGTCCTGACCTCACAGGCAGGGAAGGGCGACTGCAGATAGGAGGCACCGGGGCCACAGCCAGACACTCAGTCCCCGCTCTGCCCACGGCAGCCCCCAAGGAGCAGAGCACACCCCACGGGCCCAAACACAGCTGGCTGCAGACCCCAGGCCCGAGGGAAGGCCCAGCTTTGGGGTGAGGGGTGCCTGGCCCTGCCCCTGGTCACGGGGTCCGGGTGCCCCCAGATCCTGTTCGACCACATGCGAGTAAGCAGGGGCTTCACCAAGCATGGCGTGAGCGTGTCCCTGACAGGCGCTAGCACCATGGGCATCGACATTCCTGCCATCGGCGTGAGCATCACCTTTGACGGGCACAGCTTCCAGGTCCGCCTGTCCTACAGCCACTTCAGCAACAACACGGAGGGCCAGTGTGGTGAGTGGCGCAGCCCGGCCTGCAGGGCCTCCCCAGGCCTCAGTCCCGAGTGACCACAAGGAAAGGGTGGGGGAGCAGTGGGGACCACGGGAGGCTGCTCAGAGCCCAGCCCGGTTGTGCCCGCCCTCGCCAGGCACCTGTACCAACAACCAGAAGGACGACTGCCGCCAGCCAGATGGCACCACAGCCCCCACCTGCAAGGACATGGCCAAGTCCTGGCTGGTCCCAGATGGCAGCCTGGAGGGCTGCTGGGCCCCAACAGGCCCACCCCCAACCGCCAGCCCCACGCCCCAAGCACCCAGCACGCCCACGCCGACCCTATGCCCCTCAGAGCCCCTCTGCGAGCTCCTGCTAAGCCAGTGAGTACTTCCTGGGGGGGCGGCAGACCCTGGGGCACCCTGCCCAGGCCCAGGACTGGCTGGCTGGGGTGCGGTGCTCCTGGCCCTGACCACCCGTCCACAGGGTCTTTGCCGAATGCCACGGCCTCGTCCCGCCTGGCCCATTCTTCAACTCCTGTATCAGCGACGGCTGCCACACCAGCCACCCCAGGGTGCCCTGCCAGAGCCTGGAGGCCTATGCGGCACTCTGCCGCACCCACGGCGTGTGCAGCGACTGGCGCAACGCCACTGGCGGGCTGTGCGGTGAGTTGGGGGCGGCCCCGGGGCTCCAGCCTCCCTGGCCTGTCTAACCCATCTTTGTGCCCACAGACCTCACCTGCCCACCTGCCCAGGTGTACAAGCCCTGCGGCCCTGTACAGCCTGCGTCCTGCAACTCCAGGTAAGCAGGGGCATGGAGGTTGCAGGAGAACAGAGGACGTCCAGTCTCTGTGCCCCAGATCTCCAGATACCCCCTGACCCCAGGGCTCCCTGGAAACACCCCGTCATCCTGCACGCCCTACAGACACTCCAGTGGGGCACCCATCCCCCACCCTGACCCTGGACCCCGACCCCCCAGTCTGTCCATCGGTCCCCTGCCTGTCACGGGGTTCACACGGACAACGGTGGGAGGGGGTCTCCCACATCACGGGGTCCCAGGACTGCCCTTCTTGCTGTGCAGGAACCAGAGCCCCCTGAGCGGGGGGCTGGCAGAGGGCTGCTTCTGCCCCGAGGGTCAGATCCTCTTCGACTCGCTCAAAGACATCTGTGTGCACACGTGCGGTAAGCTCCGTCCACCCTGCGCCGGGACATGTCATAGGCTGGGGAGGAGGGCCTGGGCTTGGAAGGCCCCAGCAGGGTCCACACTGCCTGCCCAGTTGGGGTGCCCACACCGGCCCTGGCTGAGCTTTGCCCATCTGTGGCACAAGACGGTCATGGTATGGCCTTGAGCCCCGTGGAGCCCGATGGCCTCTAGAAGCCCCATGGGCAGTGGCTCATCTTCGGGTACATCTGTCACGGTCCCTCCCCCGCCCACTGTCTGCCTCTGATGTGGCTGGGCTCGTGGCACCCTGACCCAAACCCCAGCCACACCGCCCAGCCCTCTGGGGCTTCCTCCCTGGGGAGACAGGCCTGGGCCTGGGGGCAGCAGTAGCCAGCTGAGCGCACGCCATGGCGGCCCGTGGCCTCTGTCCGCCGCCTGGACCCAGCACCCTCAGTGACCTTTGTTCTTTTCCTTCCAGCCTGCGTGGGACCAGCCGGGCTTCCCAAACTAGTGAGTGGCTCTGCCCCTCCAGCCCCGCCCCTCCCCTCGTGAGGCAGGCAGGGAGCGCCCCCATCTGGAGGTCAGCTCTGCTGGCAGCTGGGGCATGGCAGGTGTGGGGCACCCAGGAGCTCAATGTGGACGTGCCCCGTGGCAGGCGTGGGCTTCCTGCCTGTCATTCTGCGCTGCTCCAGAGACGGCAGCCTGGCGGGTCCCAGCATGCCGAGGGCTGACCACGTCCTGAGCCCCTGGCGACCCTGACTTGGTGTGTTCCAGCCCGGAGAGCGGTGGGTCAGCCAGTGCCAGGACTGCGTGTGCGACGAGGGCTCGGTGTCGGTGCAGTGCGAGCCCCAGCGGTGTGAGCCCCAGGCCCAGCCCCCGAAGTGTGACGAGGAGGGCTGGGTTGCTGTGACCAGGCCTCGGGCCGACAAACCCTGCTGCCCCGAGACGCTGTGCGGTAAGACCCCGCTGGGCAGCACCGGGGGAGGGAGGGACCCAGAGGGGTGTCCCGGCTTGACCGCGGCTGACAGCCGGGTCACCGCAGCTCTGGCTGCCCCACTTTTCCACCTGGAGAGGAAGCTGTGACCTCTGGCCTGCCCAGGTACAGCCCAGGGCCTGGGGAGCAGCAGGAGGCGACAGAGGGGGCTGGGAGGGAGGCAGGAAGGGCCATGGCGTGGGCAGCCCTCAGGGGAAAAATACCTGTTTGGCTGCAACCTGGGAGGCGCTGTCTACGCGGGAACCAGAACCGTGTAGCAGGAGGGAGGAGGTGGGGGAGCAGGACGGACCCTGATGACACCTGCCTGTCCCACAGTCTGCAACGCCACCACCTGCCCACCCCAGAGCCCGCCCACCTGTGGGCCTGGGCAGGTGCTCACCCGCACCCAGGAGGAGGGCAAGTGCTGCCCCACCTTCCTCTGCCGTGAGTGGGGCTGGCAGGGCAGGGCGGGGCTGGCAGGGCAGGGCGGGGCAGGGTAGGCACCGGCCTTTCCTCCCGGCCCCACCTGAGCTCAGCCCTCTTTCCTCTTAGGACCCAAGCTGTGCACCTACAATGGCACCGTCTACGGGGTAAGGGCACGGTGCCCGGGGACGGGGCCCGAACGTCTGTGAGGGACGCCCACATCCCTCTGAGCCCCCATCCTCACCTCGATGTTCCTGCCAGCAGTGCAGGTCGGCAGAGGGGCTCTGGGGGCACCTTACTCCAAGGGCCGTGGGCCCCACACCTGCTGCCTCTGAGAGGTCAGCTTCAGGGCCGTCCTGCAAGAGTGTGGGCAGAACACACCTGCCCGGGTCCTGCCTCTGCCCAGAGGGAGGAAGCAAACTGGCCCTTGGGCCCCACCTGCCGTAGGGAGGGGTCCCGGCCCTGGTGTCCCCCATGCCCTCTGTGCCACCCTCCCACCCACTGCAGGTCGGCGCCATCTTCCCAGGGGTCGTTCCCTGCCTCACCTGCACCTGCCTCTCCGCGGACCCCCAGGACCCAACAGTGCAATGTGAGGAGGCTGCCTGCAACACCACCTGCCCCCAGGTGAGCTCACCCTGGGGCTGGGTTCTGGGGAGTTCTCTACTCAGCCTGGGCTGGGGTCTTGCTTCCCCTAGAGGGAAGGAGTGCAAAGCCGAGGCAACAGCCGGGGCCAGGGTCCAGGAAGGCGGGGAGGCCAAGAGGAGATGCTGGAAACAAGGATGAGGCTGGGCAGGGACGACTGGGCAGGGACACGGCTCAGGGCCCCTGGGGTGTGCTGGGGGGCAGGCCAGGCTGCATGGGCCAACCACCCTCCTATCCCGCAGGGCTTCGTGTACGTGAGCGTGGCTGGGCAGTGCTGCGGGAAGTGCGAGCAGTATGCCTGCCTCACGCCCCACGGCCAGCCTGTCCAGGTAACAGGAGGGCGTGTGGGGGCGTCTCAGCCCCTTCCTTGGAGACCCTCCCCCCAGCCGGCTCAGCACACAAGGTAATCCCCACCCTGCCTCCACCCTCTGCCTTGCACTTCAGCCCAACGGAACCTGGGTCAACAGCCGGGTGGACAACTGCACCGAGTACTACTGTGAAGTTGAGAATGGGCAACACATGCTGATCCCACGGCCCTCGCCCTGCCCGGACATGTTCAGCTGCAGGGTGTGTGCCAGGAGGCCCCGCCTACCTGGGAGACCCCACCTACCTGTGAAGCCCCGCTCCACCTCAGAAAGCCCTGCCCAGGGAGGCCCTGCCCCACCTCAGAAGGCCCCGCCCAGGGAGGCCCCGCCCCACCTCAGAAGGCCCCGCCCAGGGAGGCCCCACCCCACCTGAGGCCCCACCTGAGGCCCCGCCCCCTGTCCTTGGCCCTGCAGGGGACCCTGAGGAGAACGGGCTGCTGCTACTCCTGTGAGGAAGTGGGTAAGTGGAGGCCACCTTCCCGTGCCAACCTGCCAGTGCCATCCGGTCCCCAGCCCCCGGGATTCCTGCGAGCCTTCTCCCACTGGGAGCCCAGGGGCCGCAGCCCCCAGACCCCACGCTCAGTCCGGGGGTAATGGCAGGGCAGGTCCCGCGTGGGGGGCCGGGTGCTCGGAGGGCAGCTCTGGTGTGCTCTGCACGGCCTTTCCTCCCCCCAGACTCCTGTCAAGTCCACGTCAACACCACTGTCCTGTGGAACGGGGACTGTGCGACCGAGGGGGCCGTCAACGTCACCTTCTGCGAGGGCTCCTGCCCCGGAGTGTCCAAGTGAGTGGGCTCCTGGCCCTCCCCCAAGTGCGTGCCCACGGTGGGTGGCCACCCCAGCCACACAGCGCCCACCGGGCCTGTCCGCACCCTGCGCTGGGCCAGGAGGACCACACCTGCTACAGGAGGGAGGGCAGCACCCCGCTGCCCCCCCCCACAGAGCTCCTTGGCTGTGGACTCGTGTCCAGGGGCCCGAGGGGGCAGTGCCTGCCTGGGGGGCGGCGGGCAGAATCAGAGCCTTCCGTGGACCCCCCACAGCCCTGGGCTGTGGCCAGCTGTGAGCAGGAGTGGCAAGGAGGCTTGCAGCCCTTGGCCGGTGAGGCAGGAGGAAGGGTGAGGCCTGGCTCGAGGTCCCAGGGGAGGGTCTCCAGAGGTCAGCAAGAGAGAGGAGCTGGCTCAGGGAAGAGCCACAGCAGGCCACGGAAGACAGAGCAGGGCTCGACGTGACCCTGAGGCCCAGAGAACTGCCCCATCCCAGGAAGGGAAAGCCCTGCTTGCTCCAAGAGCAACCGTAGGCCACTTGTGGACAGCTGGAGCGACTGCCCCAGACCAGGGCCACGGTGGCCGGTCCTGAGGGCAGCCCCGCGTGTGCAGGTACTCGGTGGAGGCCCAGGCCATGGAGCACCAGTGCGCCTGCTGCCAGGAGAGACGGGTCCACGCGGAGACCGTGTCCATGCGGTGTCCTGACGGCACGGCCATCCTGCACACCTACACCCACGTGGACGAGTGTGGCTGTGAGCCGTCCTGTGTCCCCTTGCCCATGGTGTCCACAGATGCCCCTGTCCTCCCACTCTAGGGGCCCCCAAGCCCCCTCCACCTGGCGCCAGGACATGCATAACTGACCAGGAAAACCTTAGGCGGCCTAGTCCACGGAGCCAACCCCACCGTGGCTCCCTCCACCTCTGCTCACCTTCTGCTGCCCCGTCGAGGGAACGGGCACCCCAGGTTGGCGGTCGGTGGGGACCCGCCTGAGGAGACCCCTGCACGGGCCCTGCCCTCACAGACCCTGTGGCCTGTCCTGGCCACCTGCCCTGCCCTTGGGCCCTGCCCTGCCCAGCCCCGCTGCAGGGTTCCCGTGGCACACTGAGGCCCAGCTGGCCCCTCCGGCAGCCAGAGAGCAGATGGGCCCGTCCAGGCAAGGCCAGCCACCACCAGGGAGCTGTGCAAGGCCAGGTGGCCACCTGCCCATGCCTGCTGCAGGGGTCCCGGGGCTGAGGTCATGGTGGCTGGGTCAGAGAGGGCTCAGCGCCCCAAACACCCCTCTGTTCACCCAGCCCCAGTTTTGCTAATAAACTTTGAGCATTGTGCACGTTTCTTGTCCTGACGTCCTTTCCTGCCCGCTGTGTCTCAGCTCTCCCGCCCCTCTGTGGGCCCCACAAGCCGCACGACACCCCAGGGATGGCGTTGGGCCCAGCAGGCACCGAATGGGCCGGAGAGCCACTGGGAGGGACGGCGTGGGGCGAGGAGCGCTCAGTGTCCGCAGGCCCCTGGGGCACCCAGGGTCAGTCTTGGGCTAGGGGTGCACCGGCCAGAGACCAGGGCTCAGCCCAAGACCCAGAGGTCGCCCCAGCCGTCCCGTGGACACAGGGGCTGTGCAGGAGGACTGAGGAGCCGGTGGGCCACGTGGGCAGCCCGGGGGCAGCCCGGAGACAGCCAGCGGGGGCAGCGCGCACGGGAGGGAGCTGCGGCTGGCCCTGGGGCCCTGAGGGGCGACCTGTGCACCCCGTCCTGTCACATGTTCCCTGGTGCGTTTTCTTTGGGGCGCTTGTCACAGATGAGCTTGTATCTGGCCTTTCCTGCCTCCGCCCTGAGGGAGGGGTCTCTGCCCTTCCTTGCCGCTGCTCTGTCCAGAGCAGAGAAGGCCCGAGAGCAGCAGGGGCAGGCGCCACTGGCCCTGGCTTTGGGCCGACTGCCAGGAAGATGGGCAGGTGGGCAGGGGGGACTGCACCCTGGCGGGCAAAGGCGATACCCACACTGGCCCAGGATGCCTCTGGTGGGGGCTCGGTGCCCTGACCTCCCCTGCGCCCTGGCTGGCCCGGCGAGGAGGGCCTGGGCTCTCTCTGGCCACTGCCAGTGCTCCAGCCATGCCCACCCGCCTCGCTGAGGTCTGGCAGGGGAGGCCACCCCAGGGCCGGGCCAGCGATGCTGGGCGCTGGCGAGGTCGCAGGCATGCCACAGCGGGCAGCAGGGCAGGGCAATTGCCACTGGAGGTCATCTCCTGTGAGCTGACCCTGCGTGGCCGTGGCCAGGCCACTCCCCCATCCACACGCGAGCCGATGATGTCTCCTCGGACCCATCACCACACACGCGGGGCTTCCGTGCAATGTGCGCTATTATCTCTCCCACTTGACAGATAGGGAAACCAAGGCACAAAGAGAGCAAAAGAGTCGCTTTAGCAAGGGGCAAAGCTGGGCTGAAGCCCAGGCAGTGTGACTCGAGTCCCCAGAGAAGGCAACTATAAATATAAACACAAAGAATAAAAACAAAACAATATTACTTCAACTTTAAATGTTTTTTAGAACGGATCTCTGGTTTCCAGAGGGAAGTGGGCACGTCTCCCCCACAGAAACAAAACCGGGACAAGGATGGAAGAAACCAGAACAGCAGCAACTAAAAACAAGCAAGTGAGCCTGTCAAGCGGACGTATTCCCCGAGCGGGAGGTGTTTGGGAAGTGCCAGCGGCGGAGGAAGCCCACCGGGGCAACGCGAGCAGCAGCTCAGGGAAGGCAGCGGGCGACGGGGCCGTGCCCCCCGGTCAGCAGGCGTCACAGGAAGCGTTTAGGATTTGAGGACGCGCAGACAGATCCAGAAACCTCAGCATTTTCCCAAAGCGCCAACGGAAGGAAGAGCGTGGCAGCAGGCGGTGTCCTCAGAACCGCGGGGCCAGCTCGTGACTGACGCTCCAGCAGGTGCGAGACGTTGCGAGAGAAGAAACCCAGGAGACGGGAGCGTCGAGGGAGCGAGAACGTCGTGAAGCTGCCGGAAAGATAAGGCGGACGGAGGAAGAGGGGCAGCCGGGCACGGGGACCGAGGCGCAGCCCAGGGGCAGGGCTCCGGACACAGGCCCACACCCTGCCAAGCTGACGCTCCAGAGTGACAAGGGCACTGTCCACACCCGGGGGCTGCTCCTGCCCGGACCTGTGCGAGCCACTCGTTGAGGAGCTTGACTTCCAGGAGGAAAGGGACCTGCAGCGGCCACGGTGAGCGGGGAAGCCGGCGCCGTGCATATCGTGTCCACGTGAGAAACGCACCTCTTGAAGTCCACGGGCCACGCAGCGGTCCGGGTTGCACGGGCAGCCCTCCATAGCTAGCGCTTCCGGTCTGGTTTGAGAAAACCCTTCCCTGCCGCGGATCAGGAATCTTGTCTCCCGCGTCGTTTCCCGACGGCTCTGCAGTTCTGCCTGCGCCTTCGCACTCTGCACTCACGCAGAACCGGTGTCTGGAAGCGGCACAAAGTCAGGGTCGGACTGCACCGCGGGGGCCTCCTCAGCCCTGCGGGAGGGACCCACTGCCCCTGCCAGGCCCCCGGAGGGCAGGCTGGACCCAGGCCGGGCCCAAAGCCAGGAGAAAGGCCAGAGCTGATGACTCGCAAGCACCGAGGGCAGGGCCGACCGGCGTGTTGTGGAACACAGCGGCTGCCTTCCAGCCGTGGCCCTCCCGCCTCCATCGCAGTGCGTCCCCGGGAAGTGCTGTCCTGTCCCCTCTCACCCAGGGCTTGTGGCAGTGTCCCTGATGACTCCGTGTGGTGTGGCTGAATCCAGGTGGGGGCTCAGCCTGGCCCCTCCGTGCATCCCGTGTTCACGCCACCCCAGGATCTGTGGGTGGGCGCGTCCTCGCCTTTGCCGTGTCCCCTCCGTGGCCTGAGCGGCCCTGGTGGCCACGTGGGTGGCAAGCCCTGGGGGGCAGCTGAGGCTGCCGCCTCTGCTGCCTGGTGTCCCGCCCTCGGGGCCCTCACACCTCCTCCCCTCGCGTGACCCCAGCCTGCCCTGGGCCACTGTCCCCTGCCCGGGGCGCCAGGAATAGCGCGCGCTGGGAGGGAAGCGAAGCCAGCTGTTTCCCTATGGAAACCTCAGCGTGGACAGAAAACCACCACAAACAGCAGGGTACGCTCAAGGGGGCGGACGGCGCAGGTCCCGAGCAGACAAGCATCCCTCACTCCCGCCAGCCTCTCCCGGAGCGCCCCCCCACACGACTCAGCAGCAGGGTCTGCTTCTGGGGCCGTGACCCCAGAACGCTGGCACAGGCGTGGTCCACGCAACAGACGCAGGCCGCCGGGCCGCAGTGAGGGGGTCCTGGCTGTCTGGCTACTCCTAGGCCATCCCTGCGGTGAGCTGGGGCGGGACACGGGGGTGGGGCAGGTGGGGACGCACGCTGCGCCCAGCAGGGATGGGAGCTGCCGACCGCTGGGGCATGGGAGAGGAAAACCAGCGCCACGGCCTGCAGGCCCCGCTGACGGCCTGGTGAGGAAGCCAGGGGCCTCCTTGGCGGGGTCAAAGACCCGCCACCCACAGCCAGAGGACAGACGGCGACAGGGCCCAGGACCCAACCCAGCGCGCAGGCCGGAGCAGGCGGCGTGCCGAGGCCAGGCTGAGGTGGCGGCGGGAGTGTCCTCCAGAGACCCGGGGACACTCTGACGCCCTGACCGGAACGGCCCACCCCGTAGCCGCTGCTGGCTGTTGCTGGAGCGCAGCCCCTGCCCGGCTGGGACTCCTCGAGGGGCCGGTACCGGCCGAGGCTCAGCAGGGCTGACCCAGCAGGGGCTTCTCGTGGGCGTGACCGGGAGGGGCTCTGAGCTCTGGCCCTGGCAGGGCGGGGGGGCAGACGCAGGCTGGGCACGCGGCGGGTCACTGACATGGGCAAGTAAGTGCGCCTCACCTGCCGCAAGGCCGGCTCTCAGAAGCTGGGAACACAGTGGTCCCCAGCACGTGGAGACCCCGGGACTCGCCTCGGGGATGGTGGGGAGGGCCCTAAGGGCTGGCCGCGCTCCACAGGGCACCTGTGTCTTACGTCTCGGCACAGCTGTGCTCTGTAAGGCCAGACGAGAGATGGGAGATGCAGCATCTCGGGGTCGGGACACACAGAGGCCCCCACGGGAGCCAGGTCAGAGTGGCAGCTGGGGCCCTGGTGGGCAGGCATCTAGGTGATGCCTGGGGCAGCTGACAAGGACGCGCACTGAGCAAGAACGGAGAGGAGAGATCGAGGCTGCCCCAACCCCTGCCAGACCCGAGGCAGATCTCAGACCAGAACCGTCCGCTGAGGGAGGGGTGGGCTCCCTGGAGACAGGACCCCCGCCAGGACAGGGTCTGCAGACATTTACCCCGACACACCGGAGAAGGCGCCTGCGCAGACCTCGGCAGGTGACAGAGACGGGCTCCACAGCGACCGGACACACGGCAGCGCAGGGCTCCACGTCTGCCAGCAGCAGACGGACACCTGTGACTCCAACTCTCTCCGCTCACCCAGCAAACCCTGGCGGAGCCTCTCGTGGGCCGGCGCTGAGCCACGTCCTGGGGACGGCAGTGCAGAGCACAGACCCTCGGCCCCATCCGCAGACATCTGCCACGTCCACTCCCAACCCCACCCCACCCTGGGGACCTCCCTCACTTTCCCATGAGCTCGGGTCTGCTCTCAGAGATGAGTGTCCGTGTTCTTCCAGCATTTCCGGTATTTTGTCACAGTTTTCTAGAAGTGTCCCTCGTTCCTTGGCTCTGTGTCCAGTGCCAGCAAGTTCGACTTTTATCAGCTGTTTGGGGCAAAAAATATCCAGACTCACAGAGCTCATGGCGGAAGGTCACTGTGCAGCGGATGCATGGGCAGAACCACCACTCAGGACGTGGCGGGAGCAGACACGGCTCAGCCACACCCGGTGCTGGGCAGGGAGGGCAGCGCGAGGTAGAGGCAGCGAGCGGGCTCCATGGCGGCTCTTGCGCTAGTGTTCGTTGCAGCAACGCATGACTTAAAGGCTACAGAGAAAACATCCCGCGTCCACCGACACCACGTCTGGGCCTGGGGTGTGAACAGGGGCTCGAGGGCCGACGTGTCCCCACGCGGGAGCCTGTCACCAGGGGGGCGTCACAGCTCCCGCCGGGCCCTCATGGAACGAGGAACGTGGGGGGCCCGTGCTCTCGCTCACCCCCAGGTGCAAGCCGCCTGGAAACAGGAAACTTCAAACACGGCAGCAACCACAGAGGGCTGGGCGCCGAGGAGCCGCCCGACACGCCCAGACCCGCGGGGCCTGGGTCCTTCCACAGTCTAAGCTGGAAAACAGGCAGTCCGCACGCTTGGTGTAAATGTTCCAGGTTAGTGCTCTGACTCTGCCCGCTCGATCTCACCTCCCCCCTCCACAGCGCTCTGCCGGGCCTGTCACCACGGGACCACGGCCTGACCGGTCCGTCAGCCCTGCGCACGGCAGCCAAGTCAAAACACTCAGGAACACACACGGTGAACTTCCCCTTAAAGGACTTTATTTCTCTATTTTTATATGGATCATTTATTAAGTTAGAAACCTAAAAAGTAAAAATATATTTTACAATCAAGGAAAGAATCTGGACATCTGGACCCCAACAAAATAAGCAGAAACACTAAGTTGTGAGGATCGTTCCCGCCAACGCCTGTGAGGAGCGCAGTACAGCCGATACCCGCGGTGTCTGTCGGGGGAGAGGTGGCGCCTGCGGGTGCCGTTCGAGGCCGGGGGAGGAACCCACCCCCCCTGCCCTCGAGTCACCAACGCAGCCCAGGTGGGACTCGCCGGGGCTCCCTCAGACCACGGGTGTGCTCTGGGCTCTGACTCCCACCAACCAGCCTCGGCCAAGCGGAAGAAAACACAGCCAGGCCTTGCCAGCGGCCCTGCCCGAGGCGTGGGGACGGCCCAGCCATGCAGCTTCCACTGACCACCTGCATCTGCAAACCCGGGAGCGGGAGCAGCCCCCGGACACCTGGGGCCTGTCTAAGCTTAAGCTCAGGCCCCAAACCAGCCGTGGCCTCCGCTTTCGAGCTGGGGAGCGAGCCTCTCCCCAGTGTGCAGACGCTGGCGGGGCGGAGGCAGGACGGTGCTGTCACTCGGGAGGGTCTGCACAGGCGCTGCGGAGGAACGTCCTTTCCCGCTGTTCTGAACAAGCTGCTTCAGGTAATCAACCTCGGAACAGGAGAACGGCATAACGTGAAGGAAAGAGGAATCTCATCTAACCAAAGGCCTTATAAACGTAATCTTTCTTTGCTCTGTTAAAAAAATAAAATGTTCATCAAAAAGAAAAACAAAAGATGGCAGTAAGCGTGGGTCACCTTGAAACCATCGCTCTCCCTGGAACCAGCGCCAGCCCCCGGGGTGCTCCCTCCCAGGGGTCCCCCATGCTGCTCCTGGGGCAGGCGGCAGAAACACGGAGCGTCCTCTCCAAGAGACGCACACGCAGGCGAGGCAGTCTGGAGGCCTCCCAGCAACATTAAGGCAGAAACTGGTGTGGCGGCCACGCCTGGGAACCCGGGCGCCAATGCCCCCAGCGCCGGCTCGAGTTCCACCGTGTCAGGCCTGTCAATGTCACTAAACAAATGATCTAGAAAGTCACAGTCCTGCCCAACACCTTCAGCCCCACCTGAGAAGCAGCCCGCCACACAGGCACAAGCCCGAGGCTGCGACGGATGACTCCTGCCATCGGCTTCCTCAAGGCGAGGGGCCCAAGTCTGCTGACCCGATGCGGTCGTCCTTCCTCACACGAGATCAGGACCCTGGTGGCCCCACAACTGAAGAACAGCACCTGGTGCCACCAAACCCCCAAAACCACCACGCCCGTCTTCAGGATTACAAAAATACATATTTATCAACAACGTATTTGACAAATAGCACCCCCACCAGGGGGCACAAAGCAGTATTTTCTAGCTGACACTAAAACTTAACCTATAATTTGGGGGGGAAAGACTGACCCTCGAGTGCCAACTTCCTCATTCTACACCCTTCGCAGAGCCCAGAGGGTCAGCGTCTGCCTGCACGTCCGAGCAGCGGGGCTGGCGCCCACGGCTGGAGCAGACACTGGAGAGAAACACCAGCAACTGCGGTTCAGCGCAAACCAGACATCGCAGACAAGCAACAGTGCACGCGCTCTCAACGGTATGAGTATTGTTTAAAGTGCATTCATCACTTTTGAGAAATTTCTCAAATTTCTGATCTTCACGACTAGGTGCCACCCACTCTGTCCTGCAACCCAAGATGCTACGCATGGTGACAGGTGGTCAGGTGCAGGGCACCTCCAGCCCCCGGAAGGTCTCAGAGTGCTCACATTCACCGGATTTCCATTCCTCTCCCAGACCGAATCCGCAATGCCGGTCGCCTGCACGGCCGTTGGCGGCCGAACCCAGATCCCTTCAGCAAACATGCAGCAGGCTGCGTCTGTGACCTTCCACTCTAACCTCAGCTCTGCCACAAGAGACTCTTGCGACGTCCCCTTGGGAGGACACCCTGGGGCCAGCAGGAACACGGCAGGGCAGAGGGGCGGGTGAGCACATCCCGGCCTCCGGTGCCGTCTGGTCTGGACGCGTCCTGCATTCACGGGACTGGCAGACGGGCAAGGCAAGCCAGGGAGAGGCGGGTCCTGCCGGGTGCTGGCAGGAGGCTGCCCGTGCTCAGCTCGCCTGCACCAGACACAGACGGGAGGGGCCCAGGTAAACAGAGCATCGGGGGAAGGACCTGAGTTTCAGCTTGGCCGCTCTAAAAATGACTCCCGAATCAGCGCGGATGGATGTGTGTGCCTTAAATTAACATGTCTATCTCAACAAGTCAAATAACTAAATGCCGTTTATGGGATCAGAAGGGGGCTCGGCAATCTCTGCACCCTGGCGGGGCTGCCGCTTTCTACAACAAGAACATTGTCCAGAACAGCGTGAGAAGGGAGACCCTGTCCCCAGGCAGCAGGACAGCGAGTCTGTGCCAAGCACACCGTCCCTGCTCTGCCTCCCAACACCAGAGCAGGAGGGGAGAAGCCCACCCTCCGGGGCCCAGGGCAAGCGCGGCTACCGGGACCGAACCCACATGCGTCCCAGAGCAGGGGTGGACAGGTGACACAGGGTCCGAGGGGCTACGGGGACTTTTTCACAGGAATCTGGAGGGGACAGTGTTGCCTGGGGAACCCCTGGGTTGGCAAGTCCAAAGCGCCGGTGGCAGCAAGGCGGCGGCAAGTCTAGGACTCTTCGCCCATCTGCAGCAGCGAGTTGATGGCGGCGTCCCTGTTCCCCCTCTGGGCTTCCAGCACGGAACGGATCACTTCCCTGTCCATGTTGGGGAACATGTCCTGGATGGCTTTCAGGTCCTCCTCGCTGCAGCGCGGCTGGGCGCTCACGGCTGGCGGGGGCACCGCCACGGGCACCATGCCGGGGCTGCAGACGGCAGGCATTCCTGGAAGCAAAAGACGGAGTCTGGTAAAAACGTGGGAGTCTCACAACAGTGCAGCACAAAGGAAAAGGCAACGCCTGCTACTCGCAGCCTCACGGGAGACGCCACCTCAGCTCTCCCGAAACACCGAACCTGCAAGACACCGTGAAACTGGGGACCTGGAAACCCACCCCAGGCACGCATGCGCGGGGAGAACGGGGTGGGAGGGGACGTCTCCCTCAACGACACACTCTGCACACGAAAACGCACCTTACTCTCAACTCTCCCTCGCGCCTGTTTTTTTATGATGCCATCACTGGGTTGGGCCGGGGTAAACCCAGGTGACCAGCTGTCTGGACCTGGGCTGGCCCGTGGGCTGGCACCAGATGTCACTGACCAAAGCCGCTCTCCGCCTGAGAAGGAGCCGCGCTGTGCTCGCTCCCGCAAACACCTGCTCTTCCTTCAGCAGACGCTCCAGAACACGAACCGCAGCCTGGCAACGCGTCACTTAACTGTCACTGGCGGGAAAGACAGACCACAGCAGGCACCGAACCCCTCAGTGAAGCTGCGCGCCGACGCCTACGATGAATACGACACACACGTCAAAAAAACCACCCAGGAAGATGCTCACGAAAACTCAAGGCAGGCGGGTGGTGCGCGGTGGTGTGTGGGCTCCCCGCCTCGGCGTCAGTCGCGGAGGGCAGACCAGGACAGAGGCGCCGGGAAGGCACAGGGGCATCGAGGGCGAGTCTCTCTCTCCTGGGACAGGCCTGAGCGCAGGAGGTGGCGGCCAGGCCGAAGGACTCGCGCGTCAGAGTCCTGCCTTGACGCCGCTGAAAAGTCACAGGAGACTGACAAGTCGCTCGTTCTTTCACCTTCAAAAGCACACTCTTCCCGAGCAGGCCCGCAGGAGAGTTAGAGTAATAATTTTAGGATATGATTTTCCTTTCCTTTCTAAATTTAAAAGATTGCAAAGGCAGCAGAACTCTATCTTTAATACTGGCCTAAATCAAAATCGGCAACACGGACCTAAAAGGGGCTGAAGTGGCTGGAATGTGGCTGCAGGAGCACGACCGGGGACCGGGGACCGGGGCTCACGCCCAAGCCCAGCACGTCCTGCTCAGACCACGCAGCCCGGCAGGACGGGGCACCGTCCCCGAACCCTTCCCGGCCAAGCACTGTCCTTCACACCTGACACGTGTGCGCCGTCCCCCCCACCCTGAGACAGGCTGTCCCACCTCGCGGGTGCAGGTGCGGCAGCGGCCTGTCCTGCAGTGACCCTTGGCGCCTCATAGGACGGACGTGGTGGCCACACACACAGGCAGGCCCCAGCGGCACGGGGACAGGAGCTTGGGATGTCCCTGTGCCTGGTGGTGCCGCTCCCGCCACCGCCGTGGCACCGAGAGAACCGACTCCAGCCCACCGCTGCCGACCTGCGACCCCAGGGCGACCCTCTGCAGCGTCCACCTGCCTAAGGAGGAGGGATGGGGTTTGCGGAAATCAATGCTGACAACCACCATGCGAGGCAAGGGCCAGACTGAGCAAGCCGCCTGCTGAGGAGCCGTGTATCCCCCCAGAGCTGGACAGCAGCAGCCGAGGGGACCCGGCGCTCCCGACCCACGTCCAACCCACCCCCGGACCTGAGTGCGGACGTGTCCCCCGGGAGCTGTGAGTGTAGCGCGCTGGGGCTGGCTGCGGACACTTTCGGGAACACAGGACAGGCAGCTCTGGGCCCTTGGTGGACCCCAAAGTCCCCGGGGACTCAGGCAGAGCAGAGCTCCAACCGCCCCGTGGTGGCCCTGGCGAGGGGCCCCGCCCGGCACACGCACTCACAGGGCAGGCGTGTCGCACACAGAGGAGCCACTTCGCTTCCTGGGGCAGCCCACAGAGCTGGCACGCTCGTGCCGTGGGGGCCTGTGGTGGGCACACGCCACCACACTCAGGCTCGCGGCGCTCAGACAGAACGTCACCCAGGAAACCAACGTGCGCAACTTGCCATTCACGGGGAGCCCATTCTTAAAGACACCGTACCTAAAACAGGCCCAGCACCCGAGTCAGCATGGGACCGGCCGCCACGCAGGCCACAGACGGCATGGGACAGACGGCCAGGGTGTCCACAGCTCCCCCTGCGTCAAGGGGACGAAGCCTGGGGCGCAGGCGGCAGGTCGCGTCCAGCTGAGAGGCGTGTCACAGCGCGGCGGCGTCTTACAGCTTCTTACGCGACAGTGCACGGAAGAGAAGAAACTATGTAATTCTTATGTTTTAAGACTTTCGAATTGGTGGATTAGTAAACACGCAACAGCAAAGGAGAGAATTCTAAATAAGTTTGGGAAGTTGACGAAAACCCAATTCTCATTTAAATTGAGCCATTTACGTGTTTTAAACAGCAGAGGCCACTCGCTCTCAAACTCCTGTGTTTGCTGCAAGCCCATGTGAGGGAAGACACGCCTGTGGGCATGTGGCCAGCTTTACCGAGAATGCAAAGGTGGCTTGAGCGCCGGCTGTGCACATGGAGGGTGCCCACGCAGACGTGCTCTGCAGAGTCCTCCGTCCTGGCACCGCGAGGGCAGCACGTCCATGAGCTCAGCTTTGCTTTTCGCCTGCTGAGGGCATCGGCGCTGCCGTCTGCTGAGCTCCGCAGAAGTACAGGGGCCGCACACGCGGAGACCCTGGCCGAGGGACAGGAGGGACAGCCCCGAGGGAACAGACGGGGACACTGATGCTCGGCCACGGCGGCAACCGCACACCAGCGAGCACAGGCACACCGGCGTCCCCAGCGGGGCCAGGCCGCACGCCATGGGAGCCCACGCCTTCCCTCAGCTCCCTCACACTGCGGACGGGAAGCAGAGCGGCGACTCAAAGGGTTACGAGAACTGGACAGGGGTGACTCTTCCCCCAGGGTGGACGGCACGTGGCCAGCCCTTCCGTCGTGGCGCCTTTCACCACCTCGTGCTGTTTTGAGCGCTGACACGCAGATGCCAGCTCAGCCTCAGAAACGTCCCCGATGCCCAGGAGGGGGGCTGCCGAGGCCCCCCAGGGCAGACTCACTGCTCCCTCCCCTCACCCGACAGGCGCAGGCACACAGGCGGGACACGTGGCTGTTCCGTGGGACAGACGAGCACAGCGCTGCTTCCCTCGAGGCTCGCAGCCTCCTCCAGGACGGCTGGGGTGGGGCGACCAAAGCAACCCTGGCCCAGCGGTGGCTGCAACCTAGGCGTCCCTCTCCCCAGGGACAGCCAGCCCCTCGGACGACACTCGGGAAACCAGCGGCACCTGGCCTTCGCCCAACCAGCTTCTCCCTTTCGCTCTGCAGGTCCCAGCACAGAGCGGCAGCCTCACGGGGCCACACGCTCGTCCAGACGCTTCGTGCTCAGACGTTCGTATAAATCAGGGTTAAAAACCTGCTATAACTTTATGATGCCTGTCGACTAATTATCTGAAGTCTGTTAAAATCTAATTATTTCAGTCATCAAAATAATCCTTTATTTTAAGCAGTCCTAACTTATTCTCCATCTCCAGGCCATAGTTAACGGCATACCGGCTTTGACAACCACTGGTATTTTCTGTCCTGACCTCATTTCATCGTTGTGGTCACGCTTCATCTTTCTCCACTTCTGGGAAAAGCAGAGGGAAAAACCAGGGAGACGCCCTGATGCTCGTCAGAGCACGCACTTTCCGAGTCACCCCGGGCGGGGTGACTCTGGTGCTTAACTTAGCAAAGGGGACAGTTCTCCTGAGAGCAGCGCCAGCTCGTGGCCCTCAGCCTTCAGCGTGTGCCCTGCGAAGGCAGCAGCCGGGCCCTCAAGCCGGAACACTGGTGCACACGCCAGGAGCGGGCTCGAAGACTGCGACCACCAAGCACGCGCAGTGAGCCCTGAGCCCCTGCGCCACCCCAGCCGTGCCCGGCAGGCAGCAGGTGAGCAGACACAGCCAGACGGGAGCCGGGCCCCCCCTTCCACTCTCCTCCTGCAGGATGACATCACAGCACTCACCAAACAGCCTGTTCCCAAGCAAGCCGCGGCCACTCCTCACGCACGCGCCCCACACGCCCCACCGCGTCGTGGAGCCGGCTGGGAGCAGCGGGGCAGAGGAGGGAGCGCGAGCTCAGGCTGAACAGCTTGAAACAAAACGTGGATTGATTTAGGAAAAGTTAAAGCTCTGTATTGTCGAGAAGGCAGGTGAGGAACAAAAATGCTTCAGGAAGCGTGCATTTTGAGAGAAGAAAACCCTGGTTTAAGTCCACCGCTCTCATCCAACCTGCGACTTCCCTGCCGCAGGCCAACCACAGGGGCCGGTCTCCACGTGGTCTCTGCAGACCACAACCCTCCCCGGGTGCGTCTGCGGCGTGCTTCTGGAAGGGCAGTGCTGCCGCTGCAAACACCCAGGAATCACGTCAAAGGGAAATCAGGCCACCGACTTCCAGTGAAGCGGGTGCTTCATCGGCACTCAGAACGAATACTCCTCAGACAATTAAGCGATTCTCCACTAGCGGGACCCTGTTTGCTGGAAGAAACAGCTAGCTCCAGGGTTGAGGCCGGAGACCACAGGTGAGCCCAGGGCTCCCGTGGTGCCAGAGGGGCTCCCTCTGGCCGAATCTTGGGTAATGTCAGTGACAAAACAATGCCAGAACAGGTGACAACCTGTGGAATAAAACAGGAAACCGAGAGTCCGCACTGCCAGGGGGGTCTGATAGGAAGAAGATATCCGTGGGGTCTTGAAGTGTCTCCCGCACAAAACACGGATCGGCTGCGAGGTATGAGAAAAGCAGAGCTTCCCCGCAGAGAAGCGAGACGGGGCCTGCTGTGGGGCGGACGGCGGGGGCCCTGCCAGAGCCCTGGCCCGAGTGCTCCCCCAGAGCGAGGCGGGACCTGCTCCAGGCCGAGGGGACACGGCCGCCGAGGACAACAGGGACCTGGATGCTGCCGCCCCAACATCGCCCAGACAGGTCTGCGCAGTGGACGGTGACACTGCACCAACGTCATGCGGATCTGGACGGCCGTCCCAGGCAGGGGTGTCCTGGCTCGCGGAGGCGCGTACTACAGTATGGGGCGCAGGGGGCGTCCGGTGGGCAACAATCCCCTAAAGGTCCCAGAACAAAATTTTTATCTCCTTTGCAACTTTTCTATGAGACTGTTTGAAAACTGAAAAGCGTACATCAAACGGGTATTTCAAAGTCTCGTCCAGCTGTTCCTAAAACAAACGGGCACTTACGGAGAGTGAAGGAGAGCGAGCAGAAAAAGATAAAACAGGTCAACCCATTTTCTCTCTTATCTGAAAGCTGAGTTTCCACCTGGTGTAGGTGCCCGCTGTGCACGGAGCCGTGTCCCCGACAAGATGCCCACGTCCTAACCCAGCGCGCACACGTGAGACCTTATTTGGAAATGTGGTCTCTGCAGACGGAACCAGGGTGCGCCGCGGCCGTGACGGAGCAGGGCGGCCCCCGTCAGCGGACCGCGTCCTCCTAGGAGGAGCCACACTCCGGGGTGCAGGTGCAGGACGCAGGCGGCCATGTCGGCGGGCGGAGCTGGAGCCCATGCAAGACGAGGCAGAACCTCCCCTGGCCCTGCGGGTGCAGCCCGGCCGACAGCTCCGCCTGGACCCCGGTGCGGTCTGCTGCCTCGAGCCCCGTCTGTGCTGCAGCAGCTCCGGGACACTATCGCCCCCTGGTGCTCGCCGCGGCTACCTCAGGCCTCCAGCGCAAGGTCACCAGACACAAAACCTCACACAGACGCCACGGAATGCGCACGGCAGAAGGGCACTGCTGGCGTCCCAGGATGACGGTGCTGAGGCTGACCTCCGAGGGCCCCTCTGCGGGAAGGACCCCAGCACCGCAGGGCAGCTCTGGGGACAGGGTGCAGCTGCGGTCACTGTGCGTCCCAGCTCAGGGACGTCCCTTGGTCCTTTCAGCAGTTTCCATTGCTCTGCTGCGGCGGAAACGCTTTCTTTGCCTGTGGTCAGACGCCTCCTCTCACTCCCTGAACATGTCACAGCTGCTTTCACATTTCTGGGTCACCCCGAGTCACGTTCTATCAACCGGTCCTTCCCCACTGTGGGTCCACGCACTGCTCTCTGCCGGGCGCTGGCTGCCAACAGACTCCAGACCCCACTGAGGCTGCCGCGTAACCGCAGATGTGCGCGAGTGTGCGCTTCCCCCTGAAGAGTAGAGGCTGCTCGTCCTCAGACCGCGCCGTCACAGGCAGGACGTCCTGAGAGCGGCGGACAGCACAGAGTTCACCAAGCCCCGTCTCCTCCCTCCCATCTGGGCTGGGTTTCAGGCCCATCACGGTGGATCTAGGGCGAGGTTCTGACCCAGAGGTGGCTCTTCTGCATCCCCGCTGGACGCTGGCGTGATGGGGGTGTTGACGAGGCCCACTCTGGGTGGGCCAGACTCCAGCACCCACACTGCCTGGCTGATCCGTCCTGCCCCAACCCCACAGTCACCCCAGAGCTCGAGCAGCCGGGGCCCCACCACCCCACACACCCCAACACCCTGCTGTGCCTCAGCCACTCCACGGCCCTGGCCTCTGGCCTTCACCGCCTCGGCACCGAGGGACCACCTGCTGCGCTTGTTCCTGCCCCACCGCCCCAGCTCCCGGGACCCAGGCAGAGACTGCCTCAGGCAGAGACCCAGATGACCACAGGCTCACCAAGTGTCTCTTCTCCCAGGGGCCTGCGGGTCAACACAGGGCCCACCGCCATGGCTGTTATGGCCGTTGGTGGTGGGGCCAGGGGAGTACCTGCTGCTGCCGCAGCCACAGTGGGGGTTAGCCCGGAGCCGACATGGGGGTCTGAGAACGCAGCGGCATAGAGAGCCACCTCCCACTGGGTTGTGCTGCAGACTGCAGCTCAGACAGGCAGCTGCACATGCAGGGCCACGTGAGCAGCAGTCTGCTCTGCCCGACAGGAGCAGGCTCTTCCAGTGCAGCGGCTCATGCTCCACAATCGCCGCTTAGAAATCACACTTCTACGGCTCCGAAAAGCTCAACTCACCTTGTGCATGCCGCCCATTTAGAGAACACACAAACTCTTTTCTGCATATGCATTAAACGTTGGAATGTCACACTGGCCTCCCCTGCTTTCAGAAAGATCTGCTGACACGTCAGCGTGTCTACGTGGCTCCAAGCTACACCGGACGCCCACGCCGGGGCTCTGAGTCCCCTCGCCTCCTCCCAAGCCTGCTCCTGCCGCGGGGCGGGGGACGCACCTGCGATGGGCACGTAGCCAACGCCCTGCTGGTACACGGTCGGCATCAGCACCACTGGCTGGGGCGGCATCACCATGGCGGCCGGCAGCAACTGAAACACACGGAAGAACACGCCACACGTCAAAGCCTCGTCACCCAGTCGCGTCATCGCCATCCCAGCCGTGAGCCGGACACGGGGCTGGGAGCGCAGAGCACCTGCACAGACGCCCGGCCGCTCGTCCCCACGCCCACGTGCCCCCGGCTGGGAGCTCTGGGGCTGGGTGACCTGGGCTAGAAGGTGCCACCAGAGCCAGGGGCCCACGGCCACCGCAACGTGACCGAGCGCACGCGGTGTGAGGAGCAGCCTGTGCGCAGACCTCAGGGCCTGTGAGGTGAGAGACACGTCGGCACTCGCGTCGTTCACAAATGCCGACCGGGAGCAAGCTCCTTCCTACCACGACCGTTCTGTGTTCACGTAAAAGCGCCTGTTACAGGTGCACAGCAACATTCTTGAGGGGCTGCACTCGATCGGGGACGTGTTTTAAAACATTCCAGCATCGCTGCGATCACGCGGCCACACTCCAGCCCGGCGCAGCGCGAGACCCTGCCCCATTGCAAAGGGCGTGGGAGGCAGCAGCCTGACTTTCTTACAGTAAAAAGCTAAAATAACATCAATTTTTTAAAATCTCCTGGGTGATACTAAGGACATGGTAGCAGCCTGGGTCCCAGATCCCCTAACCTGCTCCCCGAACCCCCGGGAGCTGCAGGGGTCCAAGGACAGACTCGTGGGAGCTGCCCCCCGCCCGGCACGGCCAGGCCTTCGATTTATAGGCCTGAGGGCAGCAGCTCCCACGTGTCCCCGAGGAGACGCGGGGCCACTTTGCGGCCAGGAGCTGCCCTGTGGGGAGGAGCCCACCTGGCCGCAGAGCCCAGAACAGCAGGCACAGGACGGCCCCAGAGGGCGACACAGCTCCACCCCGAGGGCAGGACTGGGGAGGCCAAGGACACAGCTACCCACAGTGGGGACCACCTCAAAGGGCGGCTGTCTCGGGGACACGACCAGAGTCCCAGCCACCTGCCCGAGGCCACGGCTCTGTCCCCGGAGGCCCAGCCCTGCGGCCTCACCGAGTACGACATGACGAGGTTGATCATGCCCTCCTTGTCATCGCCCTGCCTCCCGCTCAGGCAGTACCACTTGTCCTCCACTGCGCCCTCCTGCTTCAGGGAGTCGGGGATGGTGACGTGGGTCCAGGCGATACGGTCATCCATGGAGAAGGCGCGCTGTGGGGACAACAGAGGGAGGTGTCTGCTGCGTCCCCTCCCCACAGCCCATCTCCAAAGCAGGAGCTCTGCCCTCCTGCTACCCTGCCATCAAGGACCCCCTCGGTCTCCCGCTCGTATGCAGAACGCCCCCCCACAAGCTCCCCATTAACGAGACCCCCGTGACACCTCCAGGGCCCAGCCAGTGAGGGCATCAATGGCGCTAGTGAACGGCCAGGGGCTTCCCTTCCCTCCGACCACCATGACGGGCAGGGCCAACCCTGAGGACAGAGACAGGAGAGCCCCCGGGCTGCTGTCCTTGTCCAGTTGCAGGTCAGGGACACCCGCAGCTCCTCCTCCACCCTGGGGCCCAACCCTGATCGTCCAGCTGCCCCCTCCGCCAGCCCCAAAGCAGGGTGGGCACAAGACGGAAAGCAGGAGGAACTGCCCGGCCACCCGCACCCATCCCTGCGCTTCCCACACACTCCTGATCCTTGAGGACAGAGGGGGAGGGGCGGGAAAGGCAGGGCAGGGGCGGAGGCCGTGCCACCCGCTGGCCCGGCTGCCCCAAGCCCCCTCCAGCTCTCGCGCGGTGCCCCAGGCACGAGGTGCAGACGAGCTGCGCAAGAGCCTCGCTGCGTCCATCTGTGCTTCTGGCTCTCCCTCAGAACCCCTCGGAACACTGCAGCGCACGACCACCGATGCGGCTCAGGACACTTGGGGGACGCTACCAGTGGCCACTGAGACTCGTGCCACCCAGAACATTCCCACCCAGCAGCACAGCCGCATTCACTAGGAACTCAGGCTCTGGTGAGCAGCTGGCCACCTGGCGGTGCTGCTGGCAGGACACAGGTCCACACTCTGTCCCCAGAGGGCCCTGTGTGTGTCACTGGTGGTATCCCAAACGCAAGGCTGCAACAGGAGCTGAGTGCTACCCTTTCCAAACTCCTTGTGGGAAAGCAGGACCCTGTCTCGCGCCCACTAAAATGCCAGATGTGGGGCCACCTAACAGCTAGCCGGGGCCCAAAGGAACCACAGGGACGCGTTCAGACCCCACGGGTGGCCTCTGTGGCAGCGGGCGTCCCTCTCACCTCATCGAAGATCTCCAGATAGAAGGAGTCCACGCCCGGCGGCACAGTGCAGTGGATGACCTTGTTCCAGCGAGGGTTCTTGGCGCCGTTGTGGGCAGTGGGCGTCTCGTACACCGCGTAGCCCAGGCGCAGTCGGCAATAGGGGTCCATGCGGGTCATGCCGTAGTTCTTGGCCAGCTTTGCCTGAAATGAAGCCAACATCAGCAACAGGAGGCGCCAACCGTCAGGAGGGAACACAAGCGCCCGCCTGGGCTGTGGCATCCTCGAGCCCCTCGAGGGCCTCAGTTTCCAGAAGGTGGAGCTGCCACCGCTGAGCAGGGCCTCGGGGCGGACACGAGAGCTCCATTTGGGCAAACGGAGTCTGAAGCGCCTGCTGGATGCCCAGGGAGGGCTGCCTGGCCTGCGCCTGGGATGCTGGAGTAGACCTGAGTGGCCGCTTGGGCCAGAGCCAGCGCACACGTGTCCGTACCCGCGGGGCTGCAGGGCCACCGACCCTGGGCACACAGGCAAAGACGGGGTGGAAGGCGGAGGACAGACCCCCTCGGCACCCCATCGGGGCCAGGAGATGGCAAGAGAGGCAAACGGGGCACCACGTGTGGCCCTGGGAGCCGAGGGAAGCAGCTCTGTTCAGAGAGAAGAGGAGACCCACAGGCTGAGGCCCCAAGTCAGGCGACGGGACTTTTCCCACCACTGACGCGCACCACGGAAGGCCGGGTGAGCGCGTGCAGGGTGCAAGCGGGTTCACGGGCTCAAGAGAGAACCAGGAGCAGCTGGAGGGTGGGCACCGCCAAGGCCTGGCCAGCCCTGGCACTCGGCCTGCGGTTACCAGGCCCCTCCAGGAGGTGGTGGCCGGGAGGCCCCGCACCAAGTCACTGCTCCTTATTTTAATTATTCTCGTCAGAACCTAGAGTGATCAATATTTTTCACACATGTCGTTTTTCAACATCAGACGTTTCAGGAAAAGCTGGAATCAGAAAAAGTTCCGTTTGTCCACGTAGGAAATGTGGTGTAAACGCCGAAAGCTTCCCGTCCCCACGCCCCCAGCAGGACACCCACCTGCACCACGGTGACGTTGAGGCGGCCCACGGCGCCCACCGCCCCTCCGTACTGCAGCTGTTGGGCAGCCTGCGCGTCCAGCTGGATCTGCTGCTGCTGCTGCGTGGGCGTGATGCGCAGGAAGTCCTGCGGCAGCTCCCCGATGTACACCTGCGGGCGGGGAAGGTGGCAGGCGTCAGCAGGGTGGCAGGCGTCAGCAGGGCGGCAGAGCGGGAGGGTCCGGCCTGGCTCCAAACCGTTTCCCGACCGGGTCGCGGTGGACTGTCTCAGCCTGCTTCTCCCTCCATGACGAGAGGGTCCCGGAGGCCGTGGGCCAGCCTGGGCCGACACCAGTGCGCGTCCTCACTCCGCGCGGGCCACAGCCCCATGGGACCCCTAACTACAGACAGGTTCTCATCCCAAAGACAGCCTGTCAGGTGGCGACCCGGGCCCTTTTCCAAGGTCTCACGCACTCCACGTCCCGTGTCTGTGACCCTTCCCCGGGGCCGCCACGACTGGGGCCAGCAGACAGCAAGTCACTGGGTCAAACACTGAACAAGATGAAATCCGAGCCTTGGACCTAAAATTATTTGGAAAACCCTCTGTGCTGATATACCTCAAATATTTCTACATCAAACAGTCTGAATTCAGAAATACTCTAAAAGAAAACAAGAAGCAAATAGATTCAAAACGAAAACCTCGAAAGACCTCCCCAGTGTGTGTTCTGCGCCTCCCCGGTCCCCTGTGCACCAGTGCGCCCGGCCCTGGCAAGAGGGTCCTGCCGCCGGTCTGGGGGACGGGCTCCTCAGAGACCTGACAGAAGCCAGAGTGTGTCACAGGCACGTTTGGGGACGGTGCGCTTGCTGAAAGCCAGGCCAGGGAGCCCTGGGGATGCCCAGGCTCCTGTGGCATCCTGACCACCTGCTGCGCAGATCAGACACCTGCACCTGCCTGGGACGTGGGCTCCCAATGGCACGGAGACAGGCAGGGTTCCAGAATGTTCTGCCGTCTGTTGAGCTCTGTACCCATTGTGCTCTGGTCACTTTTCATTTTAAAGGTACCTGGAAGGGTCCAGTTCCTCTCCTGTCTCCCCGTCTCGGACCTGGAGAACATCCGACCCAGCCAGAGCTCCAGATCCAACGGGACCAAAGGAAGAGGCCTGAGCAGCTCCGCACGCTGTCTGCGGACGCCAAGGCCAGGGACTCTCCGCGGGATGCACCACCTCCGCACCCACCTGGGCAGCCAGTTTGCTGTTACCACCGTCCTTTTCTAAAAGGTTGCCCTTCCCCACGCCTGACCCTGTCTCTGCCCCTCAGAGGAGCGTCCCAGGTGGGGACAGCAGCTCACCCCTGCCCCTCGCGCCTCCTGCACAGGCCAGACAGGGAGGACCCGGCGCCCAAGTTCCTGCTGGAAAGAAGCAGGCACCTGTGAGGACCGCGGTTGCCAGGCAGAGGCTCAGGCCGGCCTCTCCAGGGGCAGCCTGCCCCTCCAGAGGTGCATTGCGTAGGTTACCACCAAGCCCTGGGAAGAGCCTTGAGGGCCCCCTGGCACAGACACCAAGCACCTGTTCCTGTCAACACAG